TGTACAAACCGAACAGACTACATCGTACCATAAAACAGAAAACAACATTTGTACAAAATCTAGCCCAAAGTGGCTGCGAATATGGGAGGTAGTAATTAATAGATAGGGCATAATTCAAGAATGGTAAATCGTATAATGATGGTTCATAGGTCAAAATAAAGCTCATAATAAGAGGGACATGAATATACAGATAGTTTAGTTATTTAACATCAATGGATCTCTAAAGTTACCGTTCATTATTGTTATCAAGAAATAACAAGTTGGTATTAATTAACAATGGAAATTATCTTTACATTGTTTTTATATATATCTAGAACTAAGATTCTTGATATGCCGCATATCACTTGAACACCCTAACGCTAGAACTATCCAAGTTGTAAATGAGAAAACAGAAGTTGAGTAAGAAGAAATACTATTCTAAACAGTACCAATTATGGTACACAATTCTCAGGTATTTATTTATAATCATCCAATCCTCATATATTGGGTTTTAGCATTTTTCTAATAGGAAAAGCTACACATCAAGATTCTGGAATATTCTTCCAAAAGATCATTGGATGGAATATCTACGGTTCTTTCTGAGCTTCTTAGAGCTTCCTTGAATTCACCAGTGGGTGATCCTCACTTACATTTTTTTAAGTTTAAAACACGCAAATATATAGGTGTATTATATTATTTTTTGTAAGTTTTAGTCAGGTTTTAAATTCGTTGGCTCCAATTTAAAAATTGGGCAAATTTAAGGTGGATATATCTTACAAAATATACGACGTCAGTCAATGAATATAAGTGTTTATAATGAGCCTGTTAAGCTTAGACAGTTTCTAGCATTATAGTTCAGGTGCTCATTTCATTCAATTTAGGACGCGCCAATTGCGTATACCTTCGATCCAATATTGATTCTTACATCGAGAGTTAAACTCATCACTGCTTGCTCGAAATACCACAGCGTTATCTACTGGGATACTGAACTCATGTGTCAATTAGGTTTTATAACATACATGGATTTTATTTCAAAGAGTTTGTATGTTCCCGTTATTGCTCAAACCCTGTGCTTCCTAGATACCACTGCTACCCACTACTCAACTTTACTAAAACGTCTGACTTTATAACAATAATTAGGCATGTCGTTAGAGTTGTATATAAGAAAAAAGAGACGGATCACTTGTTATCCTCAATATCAATGATGAAAAGTTATGAACCTTTATACACAGAAGAGTTCATTGAAGTGATTATTACCTAACGTATGTCTACTTCAATTAGTTCTTAATAACATTGAAATGATTAAATTATCAACCAGAATGAATTTATATCAATCAAATTTGACCTCTTTGTAAATAGAAAAGCCTATTCATCTGTATGTATATTTAATGGTTAAGACTGAAAAGACTGATTTATTGTCATTTAGCTTCTAACTTAAGGGAAACACGGAATACAATAAACAACTCGGAATCAACTAGACGATTTGGACTTTGTAGATGGCATAGCTCTTCTGTCCATACACAAACAAATGTAAGTAATGATAGCCGGTGTAGCAGCAGTCTCTTCATCAGTAGGCCTTAATATACAAAACGGAAAAAAAAACTAGATCCTCAAATACAACACAGAGAACACCAACACAATCACACTTGACTGAGAAACTCTGGATGATGGGGAATTTTTCATGTACCTGCGCAGCATCATCGATGAACAAGGAGGATCCGATACAAACGTAAAGCGAGGATTGGTAAAGTAAGGGCTAGATTCCTACAATAGAAGAATATATGAAACTCAAAACAACTGTCCATCAACCAATATCAAAGTCACAATCTTCAGTACGAACGTCAAGACAGTCCTACTGTACACAGCTGAATCTTGAAGAACCACTGCAATTATCATCATATATATACAAGTATACACAAACAATTGTTTATAGAAGATACTGAACGTCCGTTGATCGGATACCATCGGTAACAGCCTACTGGTGGAGACAACATATCAGCTTCCAGCTGAAGAGGAAACGAGAAAATGACATTGAAAGTGGATAGAACATACATTACGGAAACCATCACACTGTATCATGAATCCAGAAGGGAAACGGAAAAGAGGAAGTCCGAAAAATACACTGCGTCGGGCAATGGAAACAGATATGAAAAGGATGAACAGCAATTGGAAAGAACTGAAAAGCATTGCTCAAAATAAGGTGGGATGGAGAGTGCTGGTGGGTGGCCTATATGCTCCTCCATGAGGGGTAACAGGCGTAAAGAAATAAATAAGCTTCTAACTTAAGACTGAAAAACATTCTTGTAAATTAAATGAAATATCTTCATTACTTACCTACATGCTCACTCACTCAATCACTTTTTGGCTCTCCCTCTTTCTCTCTCTTTCTGAAATTTTAACATTCCTTTCAAACACAACTATCACATCGAATGTTTAAAATATTCCGCTTTATAGTTTACTTTATGAACAAATCTTAGTTACATAACCATTGAAAACTGGAAATTAGTAGAGAGATATTTTGTTGTAATATGTCACCTCTTAAGATTTCTTATGTACGACCTCATCACATGTTGAACCCAAAAATTTGTTTATCATTGATACAGTATCCAATGGCAATATTGCCCAATCATTTTTTTTTCAAATACTGTTTGTGATTAAAATGCCTTATCCAATATATAATTGAACTTCACTGATCACGACTTTGATATTAGTTGACAAGCAGTTGTTTTGAGTTGCAGATGTTTACCAGTTATAAGAATTCTGTTCTTATTTGTTATGTTCATTAACTTGAATGCTACTACTGATTCGTCTTATTCGGAACGGAACGAAGAATCAAGGATTCAGAGACTCGATAAGCTTGCTAGGTTTGAAGCTATCACGACTTCACTTAATCGACGAACGAGAACAAGACTCAGTGACCAAAAACCAGTAAGCTAGCTATTGATACGTCCCAGCTTCGCTAACTAGAGGGAGAAGTCCAAATTTGGAATGGGAAGTATATTCTGCAAATCAGCCAGAAACGAGCGATAACAACAAACACAATTCAAAACGTATATATACAGTTCAAAACCGTCCTTGGAGAGAGTTACCGAATAGCATTTAAAAGACGCAACAAACCAATAGCATTTAAGATATTTTCCAGTGGGAAATACGACATGAAGGTGACAAGAGTGCCTTTGGCGCGAAAACAAAGAAATTCAAATTTTCAAGATGAAATCACAAAAATAGGTCCTTTCCAAAGTGAGTTCTGGGGATCTAACGTCCCCAACATTATTTTACCAATCTTCACCTTGATGTCTGTATCGGACCCTTCTTGTTCATCGATAATGTTGCTGTCAAGGTACATGAAACTTTCCACCTCTTTCAAAGCTTCTTCTTTAAATGTTGATTGTATTAATATTCTCCGTGTTGTATTTCAGGATCTTGGTTTTTCCATAATGTATGTTGAGGCCTACTGATACTACATGTTGTATGCTGTACTGAACTTAAAATCATATAAGTATATTCCATAGTGGGTTATAAATTAGTTTTGCTCATTTTTTTTTGTTTAAATGAATAAAGTGAAATGACCTAAATTTGAACTTTACTTTTTTCAGCATAATGATTTCAGAAATTTTTTATTTTACATACATTATCAAATCAACTTCAATATAATCAATAAGTAGAGAGATTCTAGGAGAACAACAACAATAGTGTTGTTGTCAACGCGAACACAAGTGTATGTGTGTGTGTGTGTATGTGTGGAGGGGGTGTGCTACAGAATCAATTAATAAAATTTGAGTATAAATATTTCATTTGTAAAATGTTGATCAATCGTCTCAAACTTGATTGTTCTTTCAATTTCACACTGATCATCATTGTTTGTTCTCGTTCACTTTTGTTTGATCTATTTAATCTTTTGCTACCAAACATTTCACTTTCAAGTGATTGGTACATACTACTTATGTCTGTTGATATCAGTAGTATATATTACAGTATTATTGATCATTTAATGGTAAATTTTAATGATATGGGATGAAAGAAAAGAAAAAGAAGGAGAGATCAATAATCTATACAGTCCATAGTGAATATCAAATAATCATAAAAATGACTTTAACTGTCATTCAAATTGATTATTCTTTTTTAGTTGTTTTGTTTTGTTTTGCGTTTATTTGATGTTACTATGAGAAAAGTTGTGTTCATTAGTTAATAGACACCTTATTCCAGTTTGTACCGATAGTTAAAGTAGATAACGTGATGGCATTTGAAGCGAATGGTACTGAGTTCGAGTCCTAGAGTGAACATTAACTCTGGAATGCAGGTATATCCATATGACGACTCCCAAATAGAATGAAACGCGCGTCCTGGATTCCACTGCTAATTACTATTGATCTTTGCTTATAATGCTTGTGAATTAAGGCAATACGCACAGTATACACATATGCTAATAAGAGACTGATCAATTGCATTCCTAAAACATCAGTGGGAAGATTCAAGTAAATAATATCAAGTGAATTTGATAGTTAATTTGTAAGTATTTTTGGTTGATATTACGAAATGTTTCAAAGAAATTATTGACTTCAATCGTTGACATCAACAACAGTACGATTCAATTCCCTATGAATTCATTTGTGGTGCATAAACTGGTGGTCACTTAAACTTTCTAGTCAAGCGGATAACGAGTTCGGAGTATCAAGAAAAAAGGACTGAGTTCTAGTTTCGAAGCGAACATAAAACCTGAGATAGTGGTACATCAATTCGATCAATCCTAAATAATAAGAAAAACTTGAGTTCCGGGTACGTCACTAGCGATCATCAGACTTTTATAAGGTACGCTTGTAATATCAAGGCAGTCTGCTAATAACGTACATATGACAAGGGTGGCTGATTGAATGTAATCATTAAGATCAAAACAGCAAAGATTGAAACCCATACAAATGAAATTATTATTTGTTGAATAGGTCAGGTAGATTATAGAACAAGCAATAGAATGATTAGCTTTTCAAACGTTTTGTTAGCCCATTGCACACAATGTGAAACTGCTATATGTGTACGTTAGTAGTAGTAGTAGTAGTAGTAGTAGTAGTAGTAGTAGTAGTAGTAGTAGTAGTAGTAGTAGTAGTAGTAGTAGTACTAGTAGTAGTAGTAGTAGTAGTAGTAGTAGTAGTAGTAGTAGTAGTAGTAATAGTAGTAGTACTAGTAGTAGTAGTAGTAGTAGTAGTAGTAGTAGTAGTAGTAGTAGTAGTAGTAGTAGTAGTAGTAGTAGTAGTAGTAGTAGTAGTAGTAGTAGTAGTAGTAGTAGTAGTAGTAGTAGTAGTAGTAGTAGTAGTAGTAGTAGTAGTAGTAGTAGTAGTAGTAGTAGTAGTAGTAGTAGTAGTTATACCATTACATAACCTCCTGACCCATATCGCACAGCATCTTTAGTCCCTAGTTTAGCCGATTGCATAGACCCCAACCACGTAATAGCATCTAGCAATATGGTTTAATTGAAAAGTTGATAAGATATTATTGTCTTCATTTGATTATTCCTAACTGTTTTTCTGTCTAACCTATTCCTGAATGTATTAACATGCATATTCCAACCTCATAGATCAATGAAAATTCACAATTTCATTAGTATTAACTAATCTAAATAAGAAATTCACTTGGTATTATTTGGCTTGTATCTTCCCATTGAATTTAAATTCACCTCATTGCACAAGCAAGTGGTTATCAGGATTCAGTAGCTAAGTGGATAACGCGATGACGTTTAAAGTGAATGTTACTGGGTTCGAGTCTCAGAGTGAACATCAACCTTGAGATGAAGGTACCTCCAGCTGACGAGTCCTAATTAGGACGAAATGCGCGTCCTGGATTCCACTACTAATCACTATCCATCATTGCTTACTAAAAAAGAAATGATGATCAAAAGTTTTCCCAAGAGATGAAACTAAATTAATTAATATATGAACAGCTGTTCTATTAAAGAAAAAAACAAAAAAACACTATTAAGAGAGTAACAAACCAATAAGGGGAAAAAATAGATAGTTTCTTATAGTTTTAATCAAATAAGTAATAGATTCGATTGTTTCATGAATTTCCGAAAGGAGAAATAAAAATAAAAATTCAATTCTATGAAATGAGAGGTAGAGAGAGAGGGGGGGAGAAAAACACCAGCACAGCAATAGGAACAACAACAGCGTAGCTTTGAGCGATCGAAACATTCTCTAATATACATACATCTAACAAGTTGTTGTTTTCTTTCTAATATATAAAGTTTTATCAATCATTATGACTTAGTTATGTAATCTTGTCTATTACATAATACCACAGATTGAAATCATGAGTCAATTGAAGCTAGACCACCATGGAAAACCTGGAAGCACTGGATGGCCGTTTCGTCTTAGTATGGGACTTCTCAGCAGTGCGCATCCACGATCTCGCAGCCAGCGAGATTCGAATGCAGGACCTATCAGTCTCGCGCCAGGCGCTTAATCAACTACATGACATAATATTACAATAACAGATAGAAAAATGTTCACAGATCATATTCCATCTTATCAATTCATCATATTATAATCATCAATTGTAATTTACTTGATAATAACACATCAAATAATATGTATTTATCATTCAATCGGAAATACTGACTCGCTTGAATACAAACAGACTGATGATTATAATGATAGAATGATGATAATTGGAACAATACAAGTAGAATTAAATAGTAAAGGATAGAAGAGAATAGGGAATGAATGAATGAATGAAAGGAAGGAAGGAAGGAAGAAACAAGAGAGATAGCCAGTGAAAACAATGAGAAAACTATGCGTGATTAAATGATAATTATTCAATGGCAAAGAAATTCTCATTTGTATGCTAAGATATAATATTATCAGAATGCGGGGGGGGAGGGGTTGTGGAGATTGTAATAATTTTAATGGTTGAATTTATGAATCGATCTAAGCTAGATCACCATTAAAAATCTGGAAGCATTGAATGTCCGTCTCGTCCTAGTATGGGATTCCTTAACAGTGCACATCCAGAATTCCACACATGGGGCTCGAACCCAAGACCTACGGTCTCGTGCGCGAACTATTCATGATATCAGCCTAAACTCAACAATCTCTATAACCCTATACTGATAATTATTATGTGTTCAATAGTGAATACTTGGAATCACTGGAGAGTCGTGTTGTCCTAGTATGGTAGTTCTCATGTGCTCACCGGTGAGTGGCTTTAAAATGAATTTCTTGGAGTTATAGTGAGAAGCCGTGACTAGTAGAGTTCAGTCGTGTCTGTTGTGAGGCAGTTAATCACTGAAGACAATTTTGAATGGTCGTGCAACATCGTGGGTTGGTTGAAGTTAGACATTAACACTGTTAAATACGGGCTTAGTAGTATAAAAGTTAAGCGTTTACTCGCAAGATCGAAGGTCCTGTGTTCGAGTCCCGTCGTACGAAATCGTGGATGTGCACTATTCAGTAACTCCATACTAGAACGAAACGGTTGTCTATTGCTTTCAGGTTTTCGGTCTTGGCCTAACATTGATCCATTCATGATATCAATATTAACTTTATTTGTATTAGTGGTTAGCAGTATTAGTTGTACCAGTACCAGTAGTAGCAATAGTAGTATGAGTAGTAGTAGTAGTAATTAGGAATACAGAATATTTCGACGGAGATGAATAAGGAAGAATGATCGAAACAAAGTTATTTCAGTGCTATCAAAGTAGACCATATGTAGTAGGTATATTTCTTGCAGATCTTATCTAAACAATTATGGATTTAAAGACCATAATAAAAAAGTTTACATAAGTTCAAACCACCAGTTTTTTTTCTCAGGTCAGATTTTGAAAGTACGATGGATTGTGATCAGTAGTCGATTGAATTTATTCAGAATTCCAGGAATAATGAATCATGTTAGATTATTTCATTATATACTATCCTTATTTACTGTCTATATATGTATGTTTGACTACGAAGCATTGGGTTAGGGTTTATTTGGTTATGTATTTTATCTAACTGTTACTTACTTACATATTGACTTACGCCTATTACTCCTCGTCGAGGAACATAGGCCACCCACCAGCACTCTCTATCCAACCCTGTCCTGGGTTATTCTTTCCAGCTTTTTCCAGTTGTTATTAATCCTTTTTGTATATGTGTGATGTCTCAAAGAGACAGCCGATTATATGACAGTGACTTATCGATCGGATCAAGGATTCAGAATCTCGATAGTCTATTCTGGTCCGTTGTCCCCAGCTCTGCTAACTCGATCAAAAAGTCTGGGTAAGGTGTAGAAAGTGTATTCTACAGACAAACAGCAGATAACAAGTCAAGTCAAGCACACAAATCAAGCGTATTTATACAAATATTTATAATCGATATTGTCATGGAAGATTTTTGAACATTAATCAACAATTGACTGCTATTTGAACATTTAATCGATAGTTCATCAATTGACCTATTTGTATGTTTAATCGATAAGTAAATTACAAAATTTGAGTTTTGGGGATCTATCGTCCCCAACAATATGTTTCCATTTCCCGACGTAATGTGTTCTTTGGTCTTCCTCTTTTCCACTTCTCTTCAGTTTTCCAACTTGGGTCATGCCTCATGATCTCCGTAATGCATGTTCTATTCACTTTCAATGTCTTTTCCCCATTTCCTCTTCAGCTGGAACCTGATTTATTCTCTCTCACAGTTGGCTGTTGCGATCATTAATATGTAATTAAAACACAGGAATAATGAAATTATTCATAATAATTAGTAACTACTTGTTAATTGGATTAATGTAGTAGTATCAACTCTTCATACAAGTTCCAAATTGTCTTAAATAAAGTGAACAATTAGCTCAACTGTTTCGTACTGTTGGCAATCATGTTCAACACACTCTTAAATCACATTCAATCAATCTATCATCTTGATAGTAGATACATATATATATATATATATATATATATATATATATATATATATATATATATATATATATATATATATATATAAGTATCAGATATGTTTGTAAAAGTTTTTTTCTGGTGTGTGATTGTTATAACTTGTGGCCTGTGTGCCCTGCTAATGTATAACGTAATGATACTGCCAATTAGAGAGGAGTGAATTATCGACCGGACCAGTGACGCATAAAACCCATGAGAGTAGCCTAGTGTCATTCTCAGGTCTGTTTCCCGCCTAGCCCTTACTGTCATTTCATGAACATCATTCTCAGCCTCTGTCATATGAATCATGTATTTCAAGCGTATTGGGTTTATATACCAACGAAATAGATCACATCGTACCATAAAATAGGGAACAACATTAGAACAAGAATTGGCCAAATGTGGTTGTGAATGAGAGAGATAGTAATCGATAGACTGGGCATAACTCAAGAATGGTAAATTGTATAATGATAATTCATAGGTCAAAATAAAGCTCACAATAAGAGGAACACGAATATGAATAGTTTAGTTATTTAACAATTATACAATAGAAATATATGTATCGTATTGATCCATAAATAGATCCCAATAGTAACCATTCATTATTCACATCGGGATATAACAGTGATGATGAACACAATGTGTGTAATCGTATAGTGATTACTTCAATGCAGATATCGTTTGTCTCAGAATCTAAATTCATAAAACTGTTTCCTATCAAGTTTTACCAACAGATACAAATGTTAACAGATAATTCAGTATTTAGTGGCAATGGAAATGACAGTATACCGAAATATCTATAATTCGTTGAAACAGAAATGATCAGAAGTCATCAGTATTCAATAATAAGGAGTATGTTTTTTTTAGTAAAGATCAGTTATCTTCTTAAAAGTGCTGACAGATGGAGTTGATACCACTTTTTTGGGCAGGGCATTCCTGAAGTTGAACATGCAGTGAGAAAAATGGAATTCTATCTATGGTATTTAAACACTTTTGTTGTAGTCTCAGAGATGATTAGTTTAAAAGCGATCGGTGAGGTAAGACATACTAACATTCGTATCATTATTTAAGCTATAGAATGCCATTATCAAGTCATTTCACTTTCTACGATTAGTTGAAATGTTTTTAAGATCTTTAATGAATCTTCGTAAGAGAGTTTAGAGAGATCTGTCGCTAAATTAGTCCCTCTACACACACACACAGTTATATTAACATCCCTAATAAGACATACATGGAGTTTTCTTGACCATTTGTAAATGGTTTGATGAAATATGTAACCAGATAAATGTAGTTTGGAGATGTTGGTGATGTGATACCTCAAAAACAAGTTAAGTGTAAGATTATTGATTGATTTTAATTATGATTTTCGCAGATTGAAATAATGAGTCAATGGAAGCTAGACCACCATGGAAAACCTGGAAGCAATGGATGGCCGTCTCTTCCTGGTATGGGATTCCTCAGCAGTGCGCGTCCACGATCCCGCACTCCGCGAGATTCGAATCCAGAACCTAACAGTCTCGTGCCAAGCGCTTAACCACGAACCCCTTCTGATAATTGAATAGGAATATTTTATTAGTTAAATAAGAAGTTTCACCAATAATTTCACAGTTGAATTCACGAGTCGATCTAAGCTAGACCATAATTGAAAAACTGGAAGT